CCGGCCTGCAGTACGTCTCACCTGGGCCGGATCTAGCTCTCTGCGTCCTCCCTTTGTCTCCTGCAGCCTGCTCAGAAACTTGTCAGACTGAGGACCGCCTTCACCACCCGCCAGCTCAAGTCCTCGGCCAGCACCTTTCTGGACTGCCCTTTAGTGGTGTCCGTTTTCCCTTCTGGGAACCTTTGCTTTTGCACGCAGTCTGGGAGGACTGCTCACTATGCCACAAATCCTTCCCCAGCCAAGGGAGGGAACACGGCCCAGGAGGGGCCAACACGATACTTCCTCCCTGGGTTGTGAATCCTAAGCTGTGGTGACAAAATTACAGAGCACAGCTGGGGCAGGATTTATCCTGGCAACAGTGGTCCCCTCAGGACACTAGCCCTGGTTCCTGCCGCACCCGCTCCAAGACACTGCAAGAGAACCAGGCCCGAGTCACCCCCATGATTCTGCAGTTCCCACAGCCTTCCAGGGACACCTCTTCCTGCCAAAGTCAGCCAAGTTGTTGCTGGCCACCCAACAGGACCTTCTTAATACTTCCTAAATACACCCCCGAGGCGCCAGTCAAAAGGGACAGCTCCCTGAAAGTGCCCTGCTGGCCTGCCCACAGGCACTACTGGAACCCTACCTAAGATTCATCCTAATTGCCTTTTTTAATTTAAAAAAGATTTTAAATGTTTAAATGCAGGTGACATGGAGGTTAAGACAGCTGGATCCCACATGGCTGGCTTCGTGGTTCAAGTCCCAGACCTGGTAGCTTGAAAATCACATCAGTTACGTGTGCATGCGTGCTCAAAAATCCCAAGAGGAAAACGAAGGAGAAAGGACTGCGGCATGGCCAACCTGAGAGAGGGAGTGTAATTTCTCACAAGCCTCCTTCCCACCCCTGTCTCTCTCTAGCGAGTGCGCAAGCACTATAGCAAAGCAAAAAAAAAAATTTTTATGCCAAAAGGCGTGTGTGTATGTGTGTGTCTGTGAGAAGGTGAGAGAGAGAGAGAGATGTCAACCTCCAACGAAGTTGCCATGCCACAGTCCTTCTTCCCTCCAGTCTTCCATCCTGTCAAGATCCTTGGTGCATGCATGTGCAGTGTGATTTTCAAGTGGACAGGACTGGGACTTGAACTCTGGTTAGCCGTGAGGGATCCACCTTCCTTTAACTTACAAGCCCCTGGCTGGACAGTGCTTCCCGTGGTAGATAAGCTGGTACTCTCGTCTGGCTCCCTCCCAGATGACAGTGCCCTGGTCAACGCTGTCTCCTCCACAATACTCCGGACTCGAAAATAATTCACCAGGCAGCCCCAGCACAAGATCCGGTAAAACCAAACTTGTGTCATGCCTCCCTCACCCCTAATCCTGCTATCTCGGACTTCTCAACCCCAACGAGTCATCCTCACCCTGAGGTGTATCTGCCCAGGTTTGCTGGGTAAGACAGATAATAACTAAGAGCACGGGGTGTGCCATCAAAAAGACCCGTGTTTGGGAACCAGCAGTTAGCGTAATGGCTATGTCACTGGACTCCCATGGAGTCGACTGTGGTTCGCGTCCCAGACCCGGTGGCTTAAAACTCATGCCAGGCGCATGTGCGTGCGTGCCCGAGATCCCGAGAGGAGAATGGAGGAGAAGGGATTGCGGTGTGACCATCCCCCATGGGGGGTGATTTCTCGCTTTCTGTCTCTATGTCTCTCTCTGTCTGTCTGGTGAGCACATGCACCCTATAGCGAAAACCTCTCCAAAAAAAAAGACCCGCGTTTGAATTCCAGATCCTTTCTGGCAGTTTGGGCAAGTCCTGCAAGTTCTATGTCTTGGTTCTTCACCAAGAACATAGTGACGAGGCTTCGAGGATTCGCCCGCAGACAGTAAAACCGACCAGGTGCCTGGCTATCAGTGAGCACTCAGTGAACAGCAGCCATTACAAAGCTACCGGGAGCGATTGGTTTAGCAGGTGTTCTGTCGGAAAGTTAGAACTGAGCGTCCTGGGGCTGCTACGTGACCCACAGTGTTATCTCTGTGTTCCTCAGTAACCTTACCTGGGTCTACACCTGCCTTGTAAACTTCTCACCGGCCTTAAAACAACACATGGAAAATGTTTTGCCAAGCACAAGGTGATTCATCCTGCTTTTCTAAAATTCAGGGACTCCCAGGCATCCAGTCCAGTGTGCAGCCACAGCAGGATTTCACCGGGCAGGCACCTGCCCTGCTCATAGGGGACACAGGCACCGAGCAGACAGGGCCCGCTCAGCACCCACCCTTTTCCAAAGCCCCAGTTCCTAAACACCCCACATGGTTATCTGTCTTCCTTCAGATGACCATGGAGCAGTGTTACGGGGACACTGGCAGCTCAGGCCTAAGCCCAAGCTGGCAGT